AAAGCTCCTTTCCATTTCAACCCCCCTCCTAAGCCTCCTCCTTCCTTCCTTCCTCCAGCAGAGACCCACCCTGCCAGGCAAATTCATTTTTCTCTTGTCCCTCACCAGCTGCATGTCTCTGCAGTTACATATACCACGTGTACAGACGCAGCCATGTGGTCTTGGCAAACTACCCCACTAAGTTTCAGCTTATCTGTAAAGCATAAACTGTAATCATCTTTAGTTTCCTGGGGTTGTTTTTCTTGTTTGTTGTTTGTTTTTGTTTTTTTGGGTAAAGACGAAATGAGATAAAGCAAGCAAGGGCACAAAGCAGGCATTTAATAAGTGATATCCTTTCCCTTTCTTCCTAGAACCACCAGGAGACCAACTTTCCCATTTTAACCCATTATTTCATCACACTTTGAGGGTCACATTTATGACTAAAACATCTGAATTCACCAGATGCCGATTTGGATACTCGTAAGATAATCATCAGGCTAAAATGGTAAATAATTTCTGCAACACACACCTGCGCAATCACTCCCTTTACATCATCTAGTGATGAAATAAATGTGCTGCTCATTGAAGGATTAAAAAAAATCAATCCCAGGAGATGTTTGAGCAACAGAACAATGACCACCTATTGGGGCCACTAAAATGGTCACCTGTGGAAAGGCTGTACTATCCTATATAATAAATAAAAGGGTAATATGCAAATTGACCCTAACGGTTGAAAAACCAGTACTGTGACACGCACTGACCACCAGGATGCAGACACTCAATGCAGGAGCTGCCCCCTGGTGGTCAGTGTGCTCCCACAGTGGTAGCTCCACTCAGCCACAAGCCAGGCTGATGGCTGGGAGTGCAGCGGCGGTGGAGGAGCCTCCCACTTCCTTGGTGGAAGCACTAAGGATGCCTGACTGTGACGTAAGCAGGGAGTTTGCCTAAGCCACCCTTGGGCAAACTACGGCCCACAGGCTGGATCCGGCCCGTTTGAAATGAATAAAACTAAAAAAAAAAAAAGACCGTACCCTTTTATGTAATGATGTTTACTTTGAATTTATATTAGTTCACACAAACACTCCATCCATGCTTTTGTTCCGGCCCTCCGGTCCAGTTTAAGAACCCATTGTGGCCCTTGAGTCAAGAAGTTTGCCCACTCCTGGTAGGCAGTACTGTCCTAGCTTTCTGGGAAGTCAGAGAAAAGGAGGCCTGGGGAACAGTTTCAGGGTTAGCCTGGGCTGAGCTGCCATTGCCTGTTGCTCCCCTGGTTGCAAGCCTCTGGGATCCTTTAGAGTTTAGAAGATGCAGGCCTGTGGGGGAAGAAGTGGGGGAGGC